GGTTAATGGCAAAAGCACCTGGGGTGTAGGAGAAGGAAAAGAGGAGCGAGGAGAGCCAAAGAAAGCCGGCAAAGGATAATTAATCGCTAACTGAGGCAAGTGTGAAGGAGGCCCACGAAAGTGAGGCCGAGAGGGACGACGGCAGGAGTAAAATGAAGAAAAAAGAAAGGTAAGCGAATTAAGAGGTAAAGACAGCAAGAGGATGGACGATATGCAATATGCAGTAACGACAGCGGAGAGCAGCCAGGATGGTAATCCTTGGAGAGATTAATGCTTGAGCGAGAAGAAAACAATATACGCCAACCACAGTGCATATCGAAAGGAGTAAGCTTGCACAAAGGTTGAAGGTAAGTAGAATATGGCATCATGAAACACACAACTAAAAACAAGTTAGTAAGAAAGTAGCAGCGCCGCCATGTGATGAAAAACAGATATTAAACGAGAGTGGAGCTAGCACTACGGAGTAACGGGAACGGTAAGAGTTAAGCTAAGACATGAGAGAGGGAAAGGAATAGACGGGCAGAAGAGAATTAGGTTAGAGGAGGAAAGAAGAACGGAAGAGAAGTGGTGCGAAACAATTGAGTAGGTTGAAAAAAGTAAAGAGTATAGCATTAGATAACAAATCAGACGGAGCGATGAGAGTCCAAAGTGGAGAGAGAGCGACAAAGATGGAAGATTTTGGATGAAAAGTGCCAAGGAAAAGGTCAATTCGAGCAAAATGCGAACGGTAAGGGAGGCAGGTATGAGATATTCAGTCGTCAAGAGGCAATCGAGACAAACATCTAAAGCTGACAGACAAGAAAAAAGGGTAAAAGACAGTAGCAGAAAACGTGAATAAGAATTAGAAGGAAGGAATTTGGACCAAAAAGTCGAAACGACGATAGAGCGATACATGAGCGAAGGTAATCAAGAGTAATCAGAGAGGGAGCTAGTATAGGAAGCACAGAGGAAGTAAGGTATGATACGAGGCAGTAGCGAGTAGGAAGTTCAGACGCGAAACTAGCGACATAAATAGAGATAAAGGGAAAAAGTAAACGAGGAACATGACGCGAAAGAAAGAAAAAGGTGAAGGGCAGTAAAGAAGAAGAAACATCGGGAGGACAACGAGTAGAGAAGTAAATATGGAAGATCGCAGAGAAAAGCGGAAGTAAATGAAAGGAGGAAAAAGGACAGGACTCAATGGATAAAAAAAGAAGCAATAAATAGAATTAAGAAGGAAAAAGAAAGGAAGACGTGAGAGAAAGCATGAGCAACAGCGAGAGCAGAAAGGAAAGATGGCGACCCCGAGGACAAGAGATAGAGGAAAGCCAGTGATAGGCAAACAGAGTGTATGAACAACCGGGACAGACAGTCCTGAGTGCAGCAGTACGCGGAGAAAGGAGAAGAGTGAGGAGAAGATTAGTAAGCAAATAAGTATGAAGAACGTAAGTATGGGCAAGCGCTAGAGAGAATAGAGTTGAGAGAAGAAGATAGGCCACTTAGTAGGGATGCAATTGTGATGAAAAGTAAAGCCTAAGATATGACATAAAGAGGAAACGAAACAAGAGGTAAAGAGAGCAAAACGACAAGAGCAAGCTAACAGGAAGGAGAAAGATAGAAAAGACAACAACAAAGGCGAGAAACAAGAAATAGGGAATGAAAGGCAGAATAGAGAGAATAGGAAAGAAGAGTACAAAGAGGATAGATGACCGAGAGATGG